CCAGGGCTGCTGAGTGGTGGAAGGCAGAGCTTTCTAGTCAAGCCATGGCTACAGAGAGCCTGGACCTGACTCTGGATAAAGTAAACACTTGAACACACACACACACACACACACACACACACACACACACACACACACACACACACACACACACACACACACACACACACATACAAGCATGAACACACACACACACTCTCACAGGGCTCTCCCGTCCTCCTCCCTGCCCGTCAGCTGGAGACCACACACCCAGACCACACAGAGTCTGAGAACAGCCCGAGTCACTCTCACGCAACACGACCCATGAGCTGTCACTCCGACCACCTCCGTCTCTCTGTCAGCACTAGTTCTGTGTGTCACTTGACACACAGAAACACAAAAAGTAGTATCTATGTTTAGAGAAAGAGAAAAGCTAAATAAGTGGCACCCCAAACTCTTGATTTTTATAGGAAATTGTTTACAAGAAATACAAAAAAGCACAATTTGATCATATTCAGGAATCCAAATGAATTAAGTAGTTATGAAATTACTTTTGTGTGTGTGTATGTGTGTGCACTCCCACATGTGTGGATGTATGTTTGTCTTTGAGGCAGGGGTGTTACAGGGAATCACATCCCTGGGCCATTAGGAGTGATCAAACAGTTTGTGAATGCCCAGATTACTGCTGATAATGGTTCAGCTAAATACAGACAGCAACCAAACAATGACACATCACTCCCTGCTGGTCATTTATTTTACTGCAGCCACATCCATACACAGTGACTTGGTTGGTCTTAACTTGAAAATTGCATTCTTGGTTTCATATGTCCCTGGAGGAAATCTAGTTTATGGTTTGAAAAAAATAATAAATCAGCATTTCCTACTTTCCTTTATCTCCTTGCCAGTAGCCAGTCAAACTAAACAGACAGCCAAGCCCGTCCATTAGTGCCAGGTAGCCCACCATATTGTTCTGCTTATCAACCCTTATCTGTTTACACTCGTCTCCAACGCCATCTGATTGTTTTCCATTACTTTGCTGCTCCTCATCCGACAACTGTTTTTGCTTTCCTGCCATCGTAATGTATTGAGTCAAGTACATTGTTATCTGAGGAGTCTCATATAAACACAGACAACTGAAAACAATTCAAGCTGATTAATTATGACGATAAAAAATTTTATTTACTGCTAATGGGGAGCAATTCTCATGCCTCCAATAGGTTATATTAATAAAAATAATAAATTATGCTAAGAGTAATTCTATGTGTATACACTCCAACTCACATAGGCTGGTCAGTTTTATTGTCCTGTGCTCTGCCATTACATAAGTCTTGACATTATTTGCTCCCATCATCTACAGCTTCATGAGAGCACAGCATCAGTGGACCGGTGGATGATGATTGATGGATTTGCAGTGTCAGTTTGAGAGGTCAAAATATGTAAAAACAAAAATGAGGTCAACACCTTCCTAACCAGGGGGTCGACTAGCAGGATTAGCCCGTGGCGACAAGAGTTAAACAGCACTGTCATCAAATGCTGGGCAGGGGTCTCAGTAATCCCTGACCCTAAACACAGCGGGGTCACTGACTCTGAGTCTAGTGTAAAATTACCACAGGTATATTTTTTTGTTTGTTTTTTTAAGTAAGGGAATCCAGCCAGGTGTTCATCAGAATTTGCACATTTAGTTGTGAATGCAGAATGAATTTTCTAGCTACTTTTATGTAGATAGCAGATTTACAATGTGCAGAAAAAAGTCTCGAAGTACTCCCCCTTCATGCCAGCAGGGGGAGTACATGTGTGTGTGTGTGTGTGTGTGTGTGTGTGTGTGTGTGTGTGTGTGTATTTTGTGTCAGTTTCATTGTGTCCTGTGCTCTCTTTTATGACTGACACCATATGCCAGCTCCAGCTGGACATAAAGTATTCAATGTCTGCAATTTGTCAGGTGCTTTTAAACCACTATGACCTCCCATTGTGTGTACAACATGTAGAACCATGTATGACAACCCAGGACAATCACCAGTATTTTGTTATCTAGAGAATGAGGGTTGAGTGGACAAGTCATTAACCTCAAGCCTGACTTCTACCCTAACTGTGGGGAAGAGTTTGTATAGTGCTCCCTGCACTGTTCTCACTCAACCAACATCTTATCTTTCTATGATCTCTGAGCACTTTCATCAAAAAGTGATTTTACCCTCTCCCACTGAAAAGGTAAAACTACCCACAATTTTACAACAACAAAAAAAAAAAAAGCACTGATAAATATCCTTTATAAATAAACATAATTTCATGGAGAAGTTTTTGTTCTTCTTATCAGAGCCAGACTGAAAATGCTGAGGCCCCGAGGCAGAAAATCTTGGAGGCCCATGCTCTGCTCTCCACAAATGCAATCCAGGTTTTTAAATATGCATTCCCAGCAGAAGTTACTATCTGTTAGAACAGTAACTCACTTAATTTACACTAACAGGCTACAGCCTATGATCATAAACTGAGTGACAATATCATCACCTGTAGATATAGCCCATCATACAGGATTTACACCACATGATTGCAAGAATACTTTTATTTACATCTATTTTATTATAGCTCTTCAATGTATTTTATTGTATTTCATAGTCAGCATTTTTATTTTTGTCTTGTGTTTTTATATCTTGACATCTATTTTTATGTCACTCTATTTTTAACTACTATTACTGTGATGATAGCTTTTAGATCTATTTCATCACGTTTATCACTTTACTTTCTCAAGTCCATTGGTCTGAAGAGAACACGTGCCATGCAGAGCAAACAGGAAACAGCAAGACATCAGTACAAAAACACAGCAACAACAACCCATTTCGGCATAGATAGAACCACGTATATCAATGCCAGCAACACAAAGCCACAAAAACACAGCCAGCAATACTGATCACAACCATCTTTTGATACATGCAGACTTGCGAAGGAGCATTAAATAGACACAGATATAATATAATCATCATTGTATTGATTTTGATAAAATTTTAAAAGATGCAGTTGCCAGTTATTGGATAGTAAAATTGTAATATAAACATGACAGATGTCATGCAACACAGAGTTAAAGGACAAAACATACCAAATTGGTAATAAAATATTATTGCATAAAACAGACTACTTATGTCTATAGATTTGCTCAGCTTTTTGCTTTAACAGGATATGAACAGACAGGCAGGCCTTATAATGCGAGTAATGTGATTATGTAATAATAATAATAATAATAATAATAATAATAATAATAATAATAATAACAACAACAACATTTGTTGTTTTGATTTAGACATGGGCTAAGTCAATTCATTTTATTTCATGAGAAAAATTGGCCCCTCAGATACTTCACCATGGCGCCTAGCCTGGTTAAAATAGTTACTTATTATTATCTATGGTTGAAACAGGCTGCCCTGCTGCTAACCTACCTCCCACTGGATCTCCTGCATCCATCGGTGTCGGGCTCAGGTGGAGAGATGAGGGAAGGGCTGTTGAACAGGTGGCTGTCGCAGGCTCGTGGCTCTCTGCCTCGGTTTCATGCTGATGCTCAGTGGAACTACCGTTAGTGGCTGCTCCCGTTTAAGGTTAGAGGAAACACATATCGACGGGGGAACAGATTTGGGGAACAGAATTGTCCTCCTCTTATTCCACGCTAACACCCCTTCCAGGCTCGTTGCTAATGCTAGCAAGTCGACTTTTGAAAACAGTCGAGATAGAAGGTGTAATTCGTCCGAGTTTCAGTTTCTCTAATGCTCTTTTCTTTTTCCGTGTTTCCCCTTGATGCTCCACTGCACCACGTTTGTCTTCCATGATGTTTTGAAGAGGCGTCCTCCTCACCTGGCGGGCTTTGGCGCTAAATTCCCACGGTCACCACCTGACCTGACACGTCATCATCATGCTACAGACCCGCCCAGCAAACCAATCATAATAAAAAATGTTCAATTGCAAATAAAGTAACTCAGCATTCATTGGTTTGCACTAAATTATTAATTCAATTATAATTAACTAAATTTATTTGTAAAAAAAAAAAGAAAAAAAGAAAAGAAAGCAAGGCCAGTTGGTGGGGGTTCGAGGCCCCCTAGAGGTCGGAGGCCCAGCGGCACCTGGCCAACCGGCCGAGTGGACAATCCGTGTTTACCTTTGTGTATTCTACAACGACATCTGTTTTGTTTACCTGCAGCTACACCAACCAGCAGATGTCAGCGAAACATTGCCAAGTTTTTCTTGTTATTTAACCTAATTTTTTTCTTGCCTCAGATCCTTGCTGTATTATCACACATGAATAAATGGATCGCTAAGCCAACCATACAAACCAACAGTGCTTTACAAACTGTATTTTCTGAATATGTAGCTCAAACTCTGAATAACAGAATTATTATAAAATGAAAATCTGACAAGTTCAATGTAACAGTATAAATGAACAAGATGAAGCTGTATAGTAAGTGTGATCAGTGTTACTGCAGAGAAATTCCTAAGTCAAAAGATAATCCATGTGTGAAGGGTAGTAAAAGTAGCAATAACAGGATCAGGTTGAGATTTTTAGACAACAGCTACAAAGTTGCAGTGATTCTGGCCACTGTTAGCCTACTTTTTTTCTGAAGTGGAAAACAAGATTTAAACTGTGGCTTAGTATTATTTGCCACTACCAGCCCAATCAGTCATATTCTTCATAGTCACTGAGTCAAGATGGAACCAAAAGAATCACTTTCTTTTGGAGAAAGTGGTGAAGTTAATATGCCGCTGGTGGTTTCATTTCTCTCTAAAACCTTTTTGGGCGATTTGGTGACTAAACAGTCCGCTCCAAAGCTTCGAGTGAAGGGCTCAGACGATGTCGCTTGGAGTAACGGTTCACATAGGCGGATAAACTGAAGCCTAACTACAAATGATGTGGCTTCCTGCAGAGGGGGAAACACCATGGCAAATGTGTGAATGTGTTTTTCTTTTTTTCTTTCTTCTTTTTTTCTTTTTTTTTTGTTCTTTTTCTTTTTGTAACCAAATATGACTCTCTCATTCTTCCACCCTTTTGTTTGCAAATCAGGGGAGCTCAAAGACAAAACAGCACAGTAGACATGTTACAGAAGATTGATACTTTTATTTCAAAATAAATCATCTATTCGTGTCGAAGTTTTATATTAATCAATGTCTGATTATTGCTACTGTTATTTAAAAAAGATTAACAACAATATTTTTTCGGTATGCACACTTTTTGTGATTTCCTCTGTAGCTTGCTCTAAATGTTTTACTGTAACTGTAATAAGAAATGGGTGTGTGCGTGTCTGTGTTTGAGTCACAGATGCTGTAGGTGGGGGAGTCACATGCTTTGTCCTGAGTCCACAAATGTCAATTTCTGATAACAGTAATACTGCAACTATGTGACACACACATGTACCCACCTACACATGCACACATGGCCCTTTTCTACACACACACGCACACATATACACTGTTTACCACAACAGCACACTGTATATTGAGCTGGTATCGTTTTCGCTATTAGGATCTGATTTTGACTGAGTCAAATGTCTGGTTGTATTGAAGTAATGCGAAACAAAAAAAATCACCCAGCAGATGATCAGAGATACTGACTGGATGTTTGGGGGTGGGGGTGGGGGGGTGAGGGAGGATTTATGGTTCACACACACACACAAAAGAAAAACATTCCTGCCTGTGATTTTGGTCAGACTTTTGAAGCCATTGTGAAAGTGATGTGGTTTAAGTGTGAAGGAAGTAAATGCAGAGATCGAAACTCTGGACCACAGAAGAAAAATATAACACAGCCTCCATCCCTCCTATTGCTGCATTGGCCCTTAGGACTTCAACGTACTGAGAGATTCCTCTAAAAACATTTGCATTTTGTGTCTAATGTTATATACGCTTTCCTGAGTGGGTAACGGACATTTTGTTGAGCTGTTGCGATAGATTTTAGAGGACGTTACATCCAGTGAAGCTCTGCAATATCTCAGGCATGGGAACCAGAGAGCTGTTCCCTGGCTAAAGCTGCACGAAGACCACAAAGATAGTTTTCCTTCCCATTTGTGAGGCCGCTAGTTTCAGGTTAAGAGGAACAGGTACGGTTTCCTTACAAGTTACAGGATGGGTGTGATTTTTCCAGTCAACTTCCTACAGTCCAGTCGTGTCAAAACCACCCATCATGGCCAGTCTTTTCTGGTGACACAGACCTTGAGTCTCAAGCTGCTCCCTGATTATGAGTTGTTCGCCACTGGTCCCCTCCTTTTTTGCTTCCACCATTGTACGCATTCCTGTGCTTTGCCTTTTCAGTTCTCTACAACCCCACAATATATTTTCTTAATTATTGATTCCATAACTGTCCACACTCATAGCTCAATTCACAGGTTTAATTTCTAATGCTAACAACCATTAGACAATTACAGTATGTAAACAAACACTGAGAAAATCAAAATACGCATAACTGTGAACTTCAAAATATAATATCACAATCATACCACAATCAAAATAGTTCATTTCTTCTTCATTATCACCTACAAACAGCTCTTAATTTAAAGGAATCAGATGTTTTTAAAAGCAGATCAGATTCAGTACAAATTGATTTTTGTTAACACACCCTGCAATACATGGTGCAGCCAAGAGGGAAACGATTTGTGATAACAGCTTCCTTTACTACACCACCAGACCAGTGATTTCTCTCACATTCAACTTGCATTATTTAATTTTATTCATTTATTTATTTTTTGCAATGAAAAGAATTGAGCGCTGAGATTGATCACTTGCTCATCAGAGCATACGTTTTTATTTGGCACATCATGCACACAGAAAGAGCTCTGTCAACTGACTGAGTGCTGAGTGCAACAATGACATTGTCAGCTGTTAGATATGAAAACGCATTAAGTATTCATTCATACTCTGTTTTATTACTTCGGAGTATCAGTGTTTGTCTTAGGGGCCACTCTTCCTGTGCACCTGTGCTAGTACTTCCTGTCTCAGTCGCCCTCCGCTCCCCTCATCCCCCCCACCCTCAAACCGCATCCTTCACACTGTCACAATAATACATTTAGTGAGAAAAAAAAAACATTACCCCAATGTCCCAGACACAAAGACTACGACACATAGGTGTGCAAGTGAAAACAACAGGGTCTTCCCCATCTCTACCCCTGAGTAGCGTGCAAGTGCCTACCATTTACAGTACACAGCACTGCAGTCACAAGGTGTGGTCAATGGTCAGCAGTTTACATTCGCATTCCTCCCCTCCAGCGTGTGTGTGTGTGTGTGTGTGTGTGTGTGTGTGTGTGTGTGTGTGTGTGTGTGTGTGTGTGTGTGTGTGTGTGCATGCATGCTTGTCACTCCTGAATATGCTGTAGAGGCCTCTGGGAAGGATAGTCGATTGCTGGAGATGATGTGTTCTGTTCCTGGATGTGATCATAGCCCCGCAGGTAGTGGCCACTGTTCTGCTGGTAATAGTACACCAGTTTTCTGGCAAACACTGGCTCCACCTAAAATGAAATTATGTCTATGTATGAAATATGTCTGTGGCTGCTGCATCACATTATATTACTGTTTACTGCGTAGCAAAGACTATAGCCTAATGCCTTCATGCCTGTTCTGGTTGATCAGGCCATTTAAAAAATCATTACAAACAAACAATATGCAGATTCTGCAATTCTTTCACATTTCTTGTCTATTTAAACTCGTTTGTTTGAGAAATTAGCCTTAAAACCAAGTTAGCCTTCTTACATTTCCGATTCCCAAAGTCGATGGGTTTTTGGTTGGATGCCAGAAATAAGGTCCGTAGTTATCACAAGACATTTTCACATTTTATTCTATGACATAAAATACGTAAGTAAATACCCCACTCGTGATTTTTGAAGCTTTTACATCTCTCAAAAAAGGCGGTTGCTCACAAGTGGCTAAATAAGACAACAGAGGTCGTCATGACATTAATCGTCATCACGCCAAACACGAAAACAGATCTATTCACAAATCCACCTTAACATGCTTGTGCTCTTGCAAACTATTACTAACTTTCTATGAGGAAAGGCTTTTGTAGACTAAGTAAGCCATGTAAGTCATGTGACCGGGGTGTATTTCATTTAAAGCCAAACATTGGCTTTTTACTTTTCGTGATAGTATTTAGGCTTCAATGGAAAAATCCTGTTGGCTTTTTGTTGACGGAACCAGGGTGATGCTAACTTCTGGGTCAGCCTACAATAATGCATCATCCCTGCGACACTCTGTCTCTGTTTTACTAAGTGTCTTCCCGAAAACTATTAATATTCAAGTTGAATGAAATACAAGTCATTAATTTACATATTCATGCATACAAGGCACCTAAAACACATTAAATCACATTAATTCAACCAGTCACTGATGGTCACTGACATCAGCTAGTGACATTAGCTTTAGCAAGAGTTTGTTTGTTTTGTTTTTCTCAGTAACAGCTGAATTTAGCAACAGCATCATTGAGTTACAGAATAACTAACTGAAAAAATTAACATGTGTGTTCATAAAAATTGATATATTTCAATATAGAGTAAAATCAATGAGTAAATCTAGCTTTGGTTTTGGCTAAGGCACGCCGTGACTATTTCACCCATTAGCATGATATTGTGTTAAAGCAGCTTGGCTATATTTTATCACTTTTGTAGTTAGTGTAAATTTAAAAAGGTGCAGTTTTTGTGTTCTGCATTTGTAGTGCAGTATATAGGTCTCTAATTTTGAAAAAAAAAATATACATCAGTCAAATTTGGTTTTTAGAAAGAGAAATATTTGTAACCACATTTTCCACCACATGATACTGTAATAGCTCATGTCCTTAAAAAGAAAAAGAACTGCTCTCAATTACAAGGTTACGTTTTGTAGTGGATCGGTACCTGTGCTGTGATCAGCTTCCTCTGTCGCTGTGGGTCAGGATACTCGTCTCCAAAACATAGCACTACCTGGTGTCTTGGTACATGTCGGCCATTATGGGCAAAATCTTGAAGCTCTGAGAGAAGAAGAGCAAGAAAAGTGCTACTTATCATACAGTCCAGCATGCCACATGTTAACAGTGAATAAACAGTCAAACTCCAAGTTGCTCATGACATTTTCCTTAATTAAGACAGCTTTTCTGGAAACCACTGATGAGGATGATGGAAATTTCAGTGTGAAATGGCACAGAAACACTATCTTGTCATACTGTGTGCTGGGCCACGGAAGGTGGGTGGGGACTCCACACACTTTGGCCCCCTGCTGAGAATGTGACTAGCTTCTTCGAGCTACCTTAAGAGGGACTTACCCAGCTAAAGTGCCTGCAACATCTCCCTCATCATTAACATCAACATCATCACAGCCATTATCGACATGACCACATCCATCATCACACTGGAAACAGCTGTAGCAGCGTGGTTACTGGTGCATTCTAGTTATTCTTCTCACTTACAGAATTTGATCAATTGTTCTGATCAAAATTATTAAGAATATTGAATATTGAATTGAAGATACCGTGAATGCTCATAATACAATAATGATGTCTCAGTCTGTGGACTAACAATTTACCATCAAGCTGAATCAATACCTTTGTGACCTGTGCTAGAAAATAGTACATTTACTCAACACCTGTAACTCAGTAGTATTTTAAAGCGTGTGTACTTTATATCTGTACTTTACTACAGAGAAAGATTGTGGTTTTTAATTGCCGACAAACGCTGTATATTACGAAACAATTCAACGTATCCTTATATCTACTTAAAGGTACATTGTAGTGTACTCATAAATATGTTTTTCTGATAATCATTCTGTACCTTTTCTTATTAAAAAAATTAACTACAGGACATTACTTTATGATATTGTTATGTATCTATAGAGGATGACATATTCTGTACAGCCTGTGAAGCTCTTCAAGGCCAATTTGTGATTCTGGGCTGTAAAAACTGACATGACTTTAGTAACATATCTGAATATTTCTTCCACCACTTTCTGTGACACAGACTGAACAATACATTTTAGTATAAACTTTACAAACGGAGTTTTTATTGCAAAAGTATTATATTGGATTGCATCATTAGGTATACCTCCAAACTTGTGTGTGTGAACAGAACACTACAGCGGCCTATTAGTCCTTACCAATAAGGAATTGCTGGGTGTCAAACAGTTTGCATGGCTGCTCCTTCTCCAGCTTGTTGGGTTTATCCAGATACGGAGCCAGAGGTCCCTCCCAGTATACTCGTCCCTGGCATAGGCGCTTAGCATACAACCCATCAGGCATCATCCATAGATGCACCCCCCTCTCCAGTATGTTAGGAAGCATCTCAGCACCCTGCCTCTGAGATTCAGGGTACGGGAATGGAAAAAGGATGGTTTCTGCCCCACTGTGAAACTTGTCCTCTGGGCATGGGGAAGAGGGGGAGGATGAGGATGGAGAGGAGGAGGAGGAGGAAGACGTGATCCGGCAACCTTCTGGGCTGGTGGTGGTAACTTCCTTCACCAAAGATTCTCTGTAGTATAGGGACACATGCAGGCTGACATCTGGAAGAAAGATATCAGCATTTAACAGATATTTATTCATAGGAAAACTCATCAGTATCATCAACAGCAATTTGAGCCTCGCAGCATGATCAGATGCAGACCCTGAAATGTCAAGCTTAAATAAAACATAATCTTCAGTAATCTTGCCATGAAAACTATTACTCACTTATGATACTAAGCATTTTTTTTAATCCCCTTTTTTTCAGGAAATGGGCCAAAAAAACACTCACTATTCATGCAAATAAATTCAGAATAGTACAAATTTAAAAACAAGCATATGAGTGAACGTCTATTTATGGGTTTTAGTTTACCAGAGTTGATTCTTTACCTGTTATTGCATTGTTGTGGTCCATTGTGTACATGGGTGGCTGTGACTCTGAAAAGTAGGTGTGGATGGAGAGATGAAAACCTGCGCAGAGTAAATTGAATAAATATTGGTTATAATTGGAGGATTGAATCTGAAAATGTTGACATGTGAAAGGGTGTTTGGCCACTTCTTTTCAAGTTTGAGGAAGTTTTTTTTTTTTTTTAATTATCATTGTAGTCTAATTTGGAACAATAGCAAGTCTGCAGAATGTGTTTGGGCCTTGCTGTAGATCAGGCAGGCACACAAGTCGCACATTTCACACATCTTCCAGCTGTATGCAACAATAACCTACAAACAACCAGGCCGTCTGCATAAACAAATCTAGCTCAAGATATTTTTGCACAGATCACTGACCACCATGTGCATAGCTAATGGATCTGCCTGTCTCAATGCCTGTTTCCCAGCTATTTCATACCTGCCATCTGTCCAGCCCGCAACTGAATTAGCATTTCCATTCATGGGGGTTGTGCATGGTTTCCGTTTCAATATGAATCCAAGCTAATTTCACTGTTTTTTTTCCAAGACTTTACCTTGGATTCTAAACACACCCACACCCATAAAACTGTGCACATTCTCACTTGGAAGCTGTCCACTGCAACCTCACGTAACTATAGCCATCAAAAGTCTAACGTGTCTGATGGGACAGCAACTTTGCTACAGTAAATCTTACATAGTCAAAGCACAGTATACTGTGTTGTCTTGTTAGAATAATCACTGAGCTCATTTATCTGTGGTACAAACCATAATCACTTTACAATCACTTTCTGCTGTGATACTGCTGTGACGATAAACACTTTGAAACTGTTGTGAATCTCCCTCTGCTATAATTAGTGCTTTCAAATAAATTAACTGGAAATGCAGGCTTTTATGAGGTTTATTTATCACCCAAACCTAATATAACTTATATTTACTTATTTGAAAAGTTTCCATTTAATTTTATATGATGTACCTCATAATGTGTCAATAATATTCTTGCTCTTCTTTATGCATTAAAAAAATAGTTGGTGATGAAACAGTCTTTGAATTTATCTGTGGGTGTTTTTTTCTCCCACCTTAAAGATCAAATGTGGATTTCACTGTAAATTACATGTGAGGGATTGTGATAACTGATGACATTTTAATTTAACAACGACTAATGACATGACCTTATAATCTGTTAAAGCCTCATTTCAGAGATTGATCAAAGTATTGTACAATGAAACAAATAAGCACGATTATAAGTGCCTGTTTTATTTTGTCAGTAAGGTGATAACTTTATTCCATTTCAGACCAGACTTCACATTTGATAAAAGGACTGACAGGATGTCTGTGGTTGGAAACTGATGCACTTATTTGGAAAATATTTATGAAAATCTAAAAAAGAAATGTATAAATTCGCATTAAAACAATCAAAATGTCACGCATCTAGAACTTATTTGACCAAATGAAATTTGAGAAAATTATTTGAAAACATTATAGTTATTTTTATGTGTGTGAATATGTTGCATCCATGATGTTTGTATGGCTGTATCTTACCATTTTCCGAGTGTGACCCAGGCCAAGCCCGGCTGATGGTTGATGGGTAGTGGCCATACTGCAGCTCTGCATGTGACCCGTGGTGATGTGGAGGTGGAAGAGGTTGTTGTTCTTGTGGTGGGTAATCCCTCCAGTCCCTTCTCTCCTGAGAAACCATATAGCCGGGTACCTGAGAAGGGAGCATATGAATGATCACTCAGAGAAGATGTCATAAACTAAAACATTTCTTCTCTATTTATGTGTTAGGCCTGGTCGAGCCTATAGGACGCAGCAGTCACAAAATGTGCTGACCTGGTTTTGCAGAGACGCATACTGAGGAATATATCCAAGAGCATTCATATGTGATGGTGTCTCCTCCATACAGCTCATCTTCATTCCTGTAAATGTACAAAACCAAAAATATATTTGTCAGATAATTTATTCACAATATTGGCCATGCTTTTCTATGAAGACAGCACATCTTCTCCCAAAAAGAAGGAACTTGCATCTGTGATAATAATACAGGATTGTAATTTAGCTTTATTGTACAGATTAACTATAAACTAAAAATGTGTGAGATGCGAAATTGTGGGGACCTAACTACCCTGATTCATTTAGCGGGTGTAAACTGTGAATGTGCTTATGCAATTATGAGATCTTGCTATTTTAACTTAAGTGATAGGGTGATTTGCAACAGATGACTCAGGCAACTGCCAATCTATATCTTGCTCGTGAAGCAAGCATTAGCCCAGATACAAAGAACTGCTCTGCTGTGACAAAAACTGTTGTACTATGGCAGAGACTTAGTTATGCAAGGCTGGAGGTCTTCTGGTTGTGTTATGTGCACCCTGCACTTAGTAACCGAAGCCCTCTAAAAAAAGCACTACGGCCTTTTTGGTACATGCTTTGGCTTCCTTTGTGCTTCCTGCCTCAATAGATTCAACTGCAGTGGTGCACATGTATGTGAAAAATGCACCAGCACTCACATAAACAATGTGGCTTGCTTTGTGAAACGCAGCAGTGCATTGTATATGTAAATGTAAATGAACCATTGTTATGGCATGGGTTTAGAGTTTACTATTTGTCAATCGAAGACCAACTATAAAATATTTTGCCCCTTACCACAGCTTGCTACATCTATCACTGCAGACATAGGTGGCTTAATGTAAATTGCAAAAGGCCTTATTGCATCTTACATGGTCATTATTTAAACACTTACCTTTTTTGGCTCCCTCTGGAATGATTCTGTAGACTTTGTAGGGATCTGAGATGTCCAGTTGGCTTCTTTCTACTAACTCATCAAAGTCATTGCTTTTATTAAGAGCACAGCGTAGTCTAGTTTTCCATGTGGGGGGATCTGGCTTGTCCACACCTTCCTTATATTTTCCTTTAAACATTGCCCATGCCTGAAACAATCATTGAATTGATTCATTTAAACTTCCTCTTTATTCATGCCAGTGTACAAAGACTAGGGCTTTGAAGAATAGATTAACGCACAAGCGCTTATAGCCCTTTTAGCAATAGCCTTTTCAAAACAATGTTACACATCTGTAACAAAAAATTAAGAAAGCAGACATTTTAAAATATGCTTTTGAAGGTTAATTCTTGTGCAGTAGTGATTTTAAAATGCAGTTGTCGGAGGCTTCAGATGCAGTGTGAGAAGACAGGTGGGATTGTCTGACCTTAAAGAGTGCAGCATCCTCCTCTCTGTTATAATCTTGTTTGCCTGCATGTTTCCACGGAATCCGGAAAATAGTTTTTTCATCGTTTTCCCAAACCAGGCCAGGATATCTCCTGCTGTCAATCTGATCGATCAGCCACTGTCTGAGTTTGCCGTTGCCACAATGGACTGACAGGCCGGCGTCCTCATCCAGGTTCATCTCTGCAAAATAAGACAAAGTAAAATCAAATTTAGTGCATAAAAGAACTGTGGGTGCAGTAAGATGATGCTCTTCTTGCTTTAAGAACTGTGAGACTCATTTCCCTGAACCTGAGAAAAGAAGTTTGATCAATTTGATCGACTGATTAATGTACTAGGTTCATATTAAAAGTTTCTTTCCAAGTACAATTCTTTTAGTAATGAAAAGAGCTGTCAAGGTTAGTTAGTTGAGCTGCACTTAGCCTTTACTATGCAGCCCTAGCTGTAACATTAGCAGGCACTTTTCAATGTGTTTTAACTAGTTGTCTCGGGATGGGTTTGACACCTTTGGTCATACTCATACACAACTGAAGGGTGTAAGGGTAAGCGTTGAAGTGGCCAAAAAGAAATGTGACACATTTGCAAGACATGCATGGATAGAGACATAAGTGTGGTAGCTATATCTAAATGAAAAGAATATGTTTTAACACAACTACAGTGCATGCTTGTATACATGCTACTGAGACATGTTTCTTAACTTCATCCTATCAGTTTTGTAGGACATAAATTCCACTTTGAACAAGACAAGTTATATGATTAACAGGATAAGTTGAATGACAAAGTTAATATTATTGAAACATGAAATTTTACCTGCCAACCTTGATACTGACTCAAATGATTGAGATCAGCTATTTTCTCCTGACTGAAACTGGGGTTAGTGGGGGTTAATAGATACATTAAAGGTTTTCATTAATCATAATGTTGAGAATACGCTTATTCATTTAAGAGGAGCTATGTCTTACCTTTGATCAACGTGAGCTCCCCCGCTGAAATCTGTTTTGAAGCTCTCGGTGTCCTATTCTTAAATGTAATCACATCTTGATTTGTAACAGGGAGGAGCCTCTCAGGCTCTGAGAAGTTCAAGAGGAGATGCGCAGCAGTCAGTCGTTCATTTCTGTGAAACTCAGCGCCCACACACAGTGCTACAGTGGGGAATCCCTCTAGTGACACCCTGAGCACACACCGGGACAGAATGGAACAGTTACCTGTATACATTACCATCACAAAATACCCCCCCGACACATATTGTTCATGTTCTACCGAAGTTCTACCTAATTTGCACTTCTATAACTGCTGACTGGAAACAATACAGTCTTTAAAGTTCTTAAATTCGTTATTGAGGAAATACTGACTTTGACTGAGTGACTGATGAGGCACGAGGAACCAATGTGGAGAGAAGAAGCACATGGTTGAGTCCAGAGTACATCTTGTATCTTTTAACAGTACTTTGTTTACTGCCCTCCAGTGGCTATCTATGCACACACCCAGCAATCAATGGTGTGTATACGACTACTGTATGTAATATCTCACCATGGTGAAATTAATGGAGTTTTTAATGCTTTATAGTATTTAAAAGACAGTTGAGCAGAGAGAGAGAGAAAAGAACATGATCTTGGTGTTTTTGATGCCACCATGCATGACCTGCCTTGCACATTAGACAAACAGGAAGAGAACCAGGAAACAGAGATGTAAACATAGAATAGAAGCATAGAAGCATTGAATGTGTCTTATCACCTTCAATGTGTCAGCCCGCCGCAAGTGACAAACTCACAAAACAATTGACTTTACTCCCTTATTTCACTATTTAAAATCACTACAAATTTAACTTTCAATTATCTTATGAAATGAATCCAGTGTAAGTTAATGATAAAGGTGAGTTAAATCCACTAAATTCCTGCATGATGTTTTGCAGAGTAAGAATTGCTCTTAAGTGCTGAAAAAGCCAACTTCAGAGTAAAATAGTGCCTCCCTGAAAGTGAGGATGTCACTTTTATTGTATTACTCCTACAGCAAAGTGTATTCTTTAAGAGCAGCTTTTCATGTGATCACATGATTAATCATTTGCATGAAAAGAGACCCTACATCCACCCCATTGGTAATCAAAATCCCTTACATATTGTTGCCAGTGATGTTAAAAGCATATAGGACTTTAATTTCAAGTTAAATTTTATCTACATGAACCGCTGGCAATTTATACACAAAAAAGACAAGAATATTTGCATTATTTGTATTGTACATTGGCCTTGTTGGTGTGTTGTTGTTGTTGTTGTTACAGTACTTTACAAATATAGTTCCAGCATAAGTAGTTTCCGCCTAGGGCAGCAGGGTTGCATGCCCCTAGTGCTGATTGCCGGACACATATGATCTTGGTGTGCGCTCTGTCACGTTCTCTTCACACATGGCATTGTTGCACATTTTTCTTTCCATGGTGCTGTATCTGGACCAGCAGTAGTCGTTGGATTGGTCTCTGCCACTTTGGTGCTGGTAGCTGAATCAGGCAGATCAGTGGGACCAGCAGGCACTAAATAGTTCTCTTCATCTCCATCTCCCTATCTCTCTCTCTCTCAGTTGCGAGGAAATGCGAACAGTTTTAGTTTAGTGAGTAAAGTGCCCACAAGTAAACCCAGGATTTGCATGTTGCTTTCTTTAGAATTCGTCTGAGTCTGAGTGGAAAAAACTGCTGCTCCCTTCACGTGGCTGTACAGATTAGCTACTCAGTACACTCGCAGGCAAAGAAAAGTAAGAGAAACACTTGTGGTAAGTTTTTCTGCTAAGTGATACTAGCAAGATGCGACTGTGACCCTTTTATATACAGTCTAAGAGTGTTAGGCATCAACTATGACATCAGTTACAAATAGATCTAGAGTTAGGGTTAGGTTTAAGGTTTAGACACCCACTAATCCACAAAAAGAAAATTAAAGGACAGACAGAAAGACAGATAGATATTTCTCCATTTATTAGTAGGATAATGACTCAGTACACAGTTCACAATATTTATAAATTAGAAAAACAGCACCAGAAACATCAATCAATGAATGCTAAAAATGAATATGTGCTTGACATAATAACGGTCTCTTCCAGTGTTCATGTCCATGATGTCTAGAGGATCAGTAGTGCGCTCCAGCTCATGAGACTTCCAGACAGGTCCAGAATACTTAAGCATCACACAGTGGTGTAATCCTCCATATTTAGCTACAAAAGATGACCATCATCAAAATTTCTGATCAGATACCTCCAGGTGGGGTAGATGCCTGTTTTCCCACCTCTTCACCTTTGACTTTGGACACAAGCAAGTCACGAATATCAGCCTCATCATTGAAGGGGTTGTCCTTATATTCCTTCCGTAGCCATTCTCTGAACTACAGGGGCAAAAAAAGTTTTCTGTTGATAAATATCTAAAGATATTCTCTCCTACTCGTTTTTTTTTTTCCCCCCATGCTTAATTCCCAGGACTGACCTCATCAGCTTGAGTAGCCTCGAACTCCTGGAGCTGGCGCTGGAAACCCAGATTGGGGCCGGCACAGGGCCGGGCCACCCTCACTGCCGCCAGCGCTTCCTGCCAGCCCAGTCCTGTCACTGTCATGATGTAAGCTACTACCAGGGTAACACTGCGGGACACACCTGCCAAACTGTTTGAAGACAGGGATGAAGAAAAGAGACTGAACTGTTAGAAAACATGATTAGCATCATTCTCCCACAAACAATTTAGATACGGATGTAAAGTGCTTTCCATGGAAAGCGCACGCACATGATCAGCTATACTGTATGTTGCACATTTAAACATCATATATTGGTTTTATATACACACACACACACAGTATATATATATATTTATATATATATATATGTGTGTGTTTGTGTGTGTGACACCAGGATACTGTGGCCTATTAACACCTTATCCAGATTTCTGATCATTTTCTGTCATATTGTCACAGGTGTCTCCACTACTTGAGTTAAAGTAATAATAGTTAGTCAGTAAACAAACAATTATAAAAAAAACAATTATTATAAAAAAATATAGAAAATGACATAATCATGATCTATATGCTTAAATAAAAGTGAAATTCAGTGGTTATATAGAGGATGAATTCTATTGTTGCTCTTATTAAAAATCTGTTGCAGGAGCTAAATCCAGCATACAGGAAAACATTAATGCTTATGTTTTCTACGTTGCATGTAAACATAATACTGAGAGTGTGAGCAAAACTAGACCCAGAACCAGGGTAATGATTTGCATGTAAACAAACTGTATGTGAGCAAGAGGTTGACAACACCTCACCTTAGCCCAAAGATGCCCAGTGATAAATATCAGATTAAATATCTACAGTAGGTGGCACTCTAGGGAAGACCAACCAGACCACAGACAGTGACAGGTAGAAAGGCAATAAGATAAAGAATTGTGGGGTAAAACAAGAGCACTTGAATGAAGATGTTGATTTAAGACACTTTACACAATACATATTTCAAACAATCTGAATTCTGTATCTGGGCAAGTAGCGTGAAGTGGACAAACCTGTGTCAATGCAAAACTTATAAATAGCTACTTGTTCCCCTGTATTTCTGAGAAGACCCTCTGTCTAACCAAATATAACTTTCCCCTGTGCACATATGATCAGCTACTCTACTACACAAACACAAAATGTGGTCAGACTTGTTACTGTACTCTGTTTTAGGAAGTTAAAGAACAGGCTTATCATTTTTATCTCCTCTGTGCAGCAGTTACACATGGCTGCACTTGTGTACTTGGTTGAGTTGTTTTCAGCTCTACATGAACACTGTACATTTACATCCAATGTGTCTATGATTGTATTATAAGATAGACAGAGGAAGTATGTTTAGTTCAGATACTTCAGCAGCGTCTCTCGTTTCAACAGCCTGTGTCAATGATTCCACCTTTTCAGGTAAAGAGACACAACAAGCAATCTTGCCCGTGCTCACCAGTGAACGAGGCAGCCCTCTCCTTTGAGGCGAGACTCGTGCATGAACATTATACTTTGTTTAAAGTGCTGAGTCCTGTGGAGCATAAAGAAAATGCTTGTTATAATAGGTCATGACCACATTATGAGAACAAGAACTGTAAGAAAACCTGCACTACTACGTGCTGTTATTTTGTCTTCACACTTCACAGCCTCTGCACGAATCTGGTGGATTGGATTGGTTGTGTACATGTGAGGTTTTTTTTTTTTTGCGCATGGTGTGTGTGTGTGTGTGTGTGTGTGTGTGTGTGTGTGTGTGTGTGTGTATGTTTTTGCACCTGACTTGTCAAACCCTTTCATTTCTCATCCTGGACAGATCAGGACGAGGGTGCGCTCATCTCAGGTTTGAGAGACTTAGTGTCATATTTCAGATTTCAAACACCACAAACTGAACCTACTGTACGAGGCATGAGGCTACTGGGGCCATAAGGGTGACAAAGGTATTAGCGGGCGTGTGTGTGTGTGTGTGTGTGTGTGTGTGTGTGTGTGTGTGTGTGTGTGTATGTGTACACATGCATGTGTGTGTTCATAGTTCATATGTATGAGAGAGTGTTTGGAGGGGGTTGTGTGTATAAATAGAGGCTCAGCACCAACCAACGTGCTAAAACTGCAGAACTGAGCTGCGAGACTTCCTTCCTGCTGAAATATGAATTCGGCCATAAAAGGTGTGTGTGTGTGTGTGTGTGTGTGTGTGTGTGCGCGTGTGTGCGTGCGCATGTGCGTTTTTGTGCACGTGTGTCTAAACCAGGGTATCCCTTTGTGATACATGCACCACCCTTCATTTTCATTTTCCTTCTCTACTTTTTCATATTACATAAAAACAACAGCATGTATGTAGTGTACATGTCATGTCAAAAAAAAAAGAAAAAGAAAAGAAAACGATGCACCACAAGCTGAATCCAGTCGTGTTGCTGTGGTCTAGTCAGAGAATAAGTTCACAGTTGAATGTTGAGCTTGTGAAAGCATATCATTTACACGTTAGCTTGAACAAAATGAACCTCAGACGCCCACACAGTGCAGCGTCAAATGGATGTGGTACTCTCTCTTTGCCTCAGCCTTTCATTGTTCTGTATCGGTTGCTGTGCTGCACATTTCGGTACTTACAGGTTTTGTGTGGGCAGGTCCGCTGCCGAAATGCAGAGATAGGTCATCTCCTGAGGGACAAAAGTATACTAGTTACCTGTCAGCAATCACTTCCTCTAATGCACTGAACACAAATCAATATACAGCAGGAAATAATGACCACAATACATGTGTGTGTTGCTGCTCATGGTGGACACAAGCTGTGCTACTGTATGTGAAAGAATAAAGGTGGCCGATTGGCAGTCACATTCGTGTATGTTCTCTTTTCTTAAAAGAAAAAAAATGGGAACAGAAGCTGCTTTTGTACTTGCAGCTGTTAGAGAAACTTTACATCATAATCAATAACCTAGAAAAAAAAATAAAATAATAATAATAATGAAGTGAGACTGCACATGTCCACACTGGCAGAAACAAGAACAACCGCCTACTCTCAAACCCACGCAAAGCACACCACTCAGCACACTGTTCAAACCAACTGGTGTTGACAGGCATTTTTCATGATACTCCAAGAATCACGAGGAAGAAACTCCCATGCTTGTTGTTCACTCACTCAGGATTGACAAGTGTTCGGTCAGGAAGCAGCACTATTGCTAAGGCACCTCTTCCTGAACAACCTGACAGACTGGTTTACAGACTGGTTGTCAGAGCTCAACCCATATGCATTGAACTAATACACCAAAAAAAGGGTCTCAGCCAATCAGATCTGTTCAGCCTCATTTTGCTGGACCACTCTGAGAAACTCAAGACGTGCACAGCGAGGGCAGAAATGTTATAACGTGGAGATGGAGAGCTTCTCACCTGGAGGATGGGGGCCGCACTGTCATGAATGGACAGGATGTGTGTAATGTTGTTTCTGGCTAACTGTTCTCTGTCTCTCGCATCTGACATAAACAAATGACAGCACAAGCAAAGACCATGAGTTTGTGCAACCGTATTAGAACCAAATCAAAAATGACATAAAAAGACACCTCCACGCACCTTTGAAATTTCCCAGATATAAATCAGGCAGGACCTATAAGAAGAGAGAATAATGAAAGTACACAACAGGAGCATCAATGATATAATGAAGTGGTACAACAGCTGAGGCAGCTTGAAACAGCTGAACAGGATGACACCCTGAAAATATGAAGTGATAATTAGAAATAATGTCCCATGGTTCAAATCAGACCCTGAGGTCATGTGACTGTAAAAAAAAAAAGAAAAGAAAAAAAGGGAAAAGAAGGGTAAATTTATACCAATGAAATATGTTGCATGTTTTTAGTTAGGCCATCTAAGTTACGAGGGTTCATGTTTAATTCTTTTGAATAAGACACGTCTAAATTAACTGAATCAAACAAATGAGAAGTCAAAACTTATTTTTATTTTTGATGAACATCTCCAAGACAACAGAAGATAATAACTAGCCTTATCTCGTGCTTATTTCCACTCAACACACCGATGGCCACTCGTGTGTGTGTGAACTCCAGCGCATGCAACAGATGAAAATCATACCTTATTGATGCCATTACCCATGCTGACAGACCCAGCCTGAGAGACAGTGGTGCAGAGAACTACCACGCTGTGGTTCCGCGGTGTTTAAAACTGCTTAAATCCAGCGGTTTGTTGGCTTCTTAAACCCTCTGTAAGGGGCGCAAAGGCAGCAGCTCCGCGTCCGAATGAGCTGAGCACTGCTGCCCAGGCTCCCGGTGATGAATGCTGGGAGTTGTAGTTTGCTGATATGTAAGGAGACCTGCTTTTGTCGCGTGTGTGTAGACACAGGTGAGGTCTACACCCAACCTTGGATTTGTAATCACATATGATGCTAGAAGTATTCATACCCTGGCCCATGGCCCAGTGACAGAAAGTACTAAAGTTAGAATCTGACTCTCCACATACCAGAGCAATATTAGCCAAGCCCTGTGGGAATATTATGGGACTATACACATAGTATATACGCATACCGTATATATAGTTAATCAGGAATACAAAGCCTACCATGAAGTGGGATGGAATATAAACTCACTGTCAAAAAGACTGGGGGATTTCTCCTTGATGGAAATTGGGGATACAAAATATTGAAATCTTAATATTATTATTAATAATAGCCTATTATTAATATTATACCCAAAATGATAAAAAAAAAAAAGTAAATAATTATTTAAAAAAAACAGCAACTTGGATGTGCAGGACGTAAAAGTGACTAATTCTCAGAGAAGTTGCCTCACAGACCCAGAGACAGCGGCCTATTCACAAGTTCCAGGGGATATCGTGCATCTGCCTGCATCTGCCTGCATCTGTCCAACCCTGTGCAAATGAAGGCAAATCAAGAAGTAGGGAAACAGTTCTAGTGGCAGTGAGGGCATGGGGGATCTCTACCTTTCCTGCAGCCTGGATGATTACCCTTTCTACCCCCAGAGCAGCAATTGGGACTTGATACCATAGGGAAAGGTTGTTCACACACCATCATTGGCTGAGGGACCTGTATAACAGGGGAAGGGTCACTACAACTACCAGACAGATACATCAGTACAATAACCTCCACTGAGAAAGAAACAGATACTTGTGCCACTGAAGAAAATGACCACCTGGACATGACTCTACCCTGGGAGAGTTCAAGTACTGAAGAAGGAGAAGACAGTGTAACTAGAGGAACTGTGCTACATGAGGAAAGTAAACTACACTGGAGAGGAGCATTGGACCATCAACCTCCTCTGAGAAATGGCAGGCAATCCAAGACCTGTGGATCTGTGGCACCAGGCCAACAGTGTTCACCTGTGCTAATTCTTGTGGACTCAGCTGGATGACTAGCTTGTATTTTTGTCATGATTGGAGACAAGGCAGACTGCTTTACTGCAGCACACCATCAAGTCCAGGGTGGCACAACCTGCAACCCCAACATCTCCTCTTAAGGCAGCTGAATAGAAAACCAGCAAGACAGCTGGTGCAGGCATTAAGAAGACAGCTTGCATGGGCCGCTAAACTGCTGGCACCTGGCAGTTTGTACTGATAGCCATCACATTAACAACATCAACAGGAAGTACTGCTACCCACCACCCCACATTGACACATTTACACAGGCCGCACATTTACACCGCAGGTGCTAGTGGGCTTAACTTCCTGGTGATCTGTTGTTGTTCTATGTGGGTCAGCATGTGATTACCAGACTACAGCTTGAATGGAAAGAGGTGTCTGCAGCAGTTTTGCAAGATGACCTGGCCTCTTATATCATGATGGGAACTGGAAAAGTATATGAACTCACTGCTGACATTCTCACCTCAATCTTCTCATTTCAATTTCAGTTATAATATGAATGATGAAACATTCGATCTAGCTCATTTCAAAATCAGCAAAACCATTTTAATTGTGGCTGGAACGTAGTTTACATGTGCATACATAACATATCTGTTGCTTAATACTCTATTATAGTGAACGGTAAACTGTAACCTTGTCTAAATAAATGATTATGATTACCGGCTTAATAATAATTTTTAAAAAAGGAAACAAACAATAATGTAAACCGGAAAAGTGAGACAATACAAGACAGGTAAATATGATACTGCTTTGTTGTGGCTTTAGTGTGCAAAAGGAGGAATTTCTAGTGTGGGTGTTCACAGATAGGCTGCCCAAAATGTAGGCCTACATGTCATTCATCGCCCACGCTGTCAGAGGCTACAATTCAGGTGGTTTCCCGCTCTAGTTTCACAATAACCTTGTTTTATCAATGAACTTGTTTTTTTCCTCTCTTTTTTCTGTCTTTTTTTTTTTTTTTTTTTTTTTACACTAAAACATGACTTTGGCTGTGCTGCTTTAGCTAGAAATGAAATTAGTTTGTTGTCCTTTATCACAGTTTGCTTCCTCATTCTTTAGGTTCTGTAAAAGCTTTGGTCTCTCAGATGAGAGTTGCTGTGTAGAAAACTGTCTGGATGTAAAGACAGCTAACACAATGTATTAATATGGCCATCAAATTTCAAACTGGAAAAGCTACAGTCCTGCTGTGGTTGTTTAATCTGCGATAATGCATTTCACCAGTAGGTGGCAACAATGCCACACGACAAAATTTACAATGGTCCTCTTCCAGAGTAATTCTGTATCTCAAAAACCCATTTAAAATGGACAAAAAAGTCTAAAATAAAACAAATTAATATCATATCATGCATTTGTGTTTTCTTATCCAAGTGTTTTAGGTTTTTTTCAGCCACAAAAAATCTGAATCTGCTAGCCGTCCTGCATCGTTTCTGATATCGACTTTTATGGCTGTTTGTAGTTTTTATGTCGCTTGACAGGTTTTGGTTTTGAACGAGTACGTCGAGGAAATCCCGGAACTACAAAAACAAACTTGTCCTACTTGGGGTTTTCAGTCCTTTTATGTCACTGTTTAGTCCACCTTTTGTCGGCAGTGATAGCTAATGGTGTGTATAACATTGTTTTTATTTAAAGTGAAGAGTTTGTTTAATGTTACGAGGACGAAGTTTGTCTTGTTACCGAAAGTTTTGGAAACGTTAGGCGTTAGCTTGAAGTTTACACCTTCAGTGTGTGTTTTGAATGTTCTGTATGGTTGAACCGCTGCTTCAGTCATTCAAATTGGCTCCTCGGTATATTTGCATATGTACATTTGACAGCATACAGATGTTGACCACTTTGTTATGAGTTTATCTGAACTGTCGTGCCCCTCGTTCTTATGTGTTATTGTGACTTCTTACCAGGGATGGCCACGGCGCCACAGTCCTCGCTTCATATGAGGTCGACTGATCTCATCAAAAAAGAGCCTCTGGACTACGGAGGGTTTGGAGATGTTTACCTGTGCTACCATGTAACCCTCGGCCAGGTGGTGTTGAAGACTATGTATACGGGCTCTCTTCGCAACGAGTAAGTTCTCTGTGCCTCTGTTAGTACGCTGGGTATTCCCCTTCGCCCTAATGGTAACTTGAATCATGTGTCTGACAGGACACTACAGCCAGGCTCTGCATACAACTTAGTGAGACTAATTTATGTTTTTTGAAACCATATAAAACGTCAATTTGCTATTATATGACATAGATGGAAGAATGCTCTTTGTATAGAAAAACGTGAGCCTAGTTTGGTATTACAGCAACGGGTGTCCATGATCCCCAGGGGGTGCACTAAGGGGCAAGCACTGATGTCTATATCATATACTTCCTTTTTATGTAGACCAGACAAGTTGGTTCATCTGAAAGGCGGATTTTGGTCCAACATCCGTTTTTCAGACCAGCATCATCATCAACAACAACTTTTTGGTTTATGTTACTTACATTTACAGCCCATCTCCTCAAACCCTGAGTTAATGGGAATATTATCAAAATCGCAATATGGCCAAAAGCGAAATCCAAATCATAGGATCTGCAATTTTTTTTAAAGGTAGTAAGGTAAAATGTCTCACAACATACCATAAATGAAGCATTGTGGTGCTACAGAGATGCCTAAGCCTACAAATCATGCTTTGGTACAAGACCCAACAAAAATCACATCATCATCAACATTTCAATATTTTTTCCACTGGAAATTAAATGCAAAATTGACCATTTCAACTGAAACTGTGACTCATACCGCAATAGCAATATCTGAAAAGTATGCACAATATAACTTTTTTTTTTCTTCTGCATATCATTCAGCCCTGTAGTTCATATTATTGTTGTAGCCTTGACATGGGATATGTGGTTTCACTTCCTGAATTCCTATATGTACTGTAAGGGAAGAAGCAATACAGCGTTTTCTTTCCTGATACTAAAACCTAAATTTAGGTATAAACTTATACCAAGTACTGATCCAATACTAGTAGCCTACTCTTTCCTCCTGAATTTAACATCTGTTCTTCACTGTATGGAAATAATTGTAATAATTTCTATGTAGGATAACAGTGGGGCGCTGATTTCTGTGGCGATGAAAACTGATTCAGCTTGTCTGAATTATTGTAAATAACAACAGAAACAATTACTTTTATAAGAACACTTATTCATTCATTTATTTTATGTGGATCGGTCACATCATGACTGATATCTGATCCGCTTAAAAAACAACTCAGCATGACACAGCAAACTCGGCATGATGCAGGTTATGCCACTTGTCTGGCAGATATATGGTTCTCACTATGTTTGCTATACTTTCCAGGGAGAGCAAAAGGTCACTGCTGGCGGAGGGGAGCATCATGGCAAGTCTGAACCACGAGCGAGTGGTGAAGCTGCTGGGTGTTATCATGGAGGATAGAGACTGCTCGCTAGTTATGGAACTCATCCCCAGAGGCAACCTGCTGGTCATGCTCGAAACGGTCAGCAGGTTTAAAATCTGTAGTCGGGCTGACAAGGGAAAGATGAATTCATGTCTGTAACACCTGTAGTTCTACTAGTTTTCATCCATAGTTTGCAACCTTAAATAACTCATGGTATTTTCATATGAATTGAAACATTAATACATTATATTCTCCCTGATCCTAGGTGTCTGTGCCAGTGTCCATCAAGGGCAGAATCATTCTAGAGATTTTGGAAGGGATGGTGTACCTCACAGAGAGACGGGTCATACACAAAGACATCAAGCCAGATAACATTTTAGTGGACAAGGATTTTCACATTAAGGTACATTACACACTAAGACCCATGGCATATTTATGATTCTTCCAGTGGTTATCTAAGTATTTTTTCCTCTTGTTATCAAGATTGCCGACCTGGGCCTGGCTACTTGTCAGACATGGAGCAAACTCACAAGGGAAGAGTCTCGCAGGAGGACTCGAATAGGCCAATCAGCTGGGACGAGAGGTGCCGGCACACTGAGCTACATGGCTCCTGAGCACCTGGAGAGTATACACACAGCCTCCACTGAGAAGTCTGATGTCTACAGCTTTGCGATAGTGGTTTGGGTCATTCTCACTGGGAAAGAGCCATATGCAAGTGAGTTGGGATGCCAAAACATGCTCAAGTCCTAGTAACAAAACACATTATATCCATGCATAATTAAACAATGAGCTCTGATTAACTGGTTCAGTAGTAAAACAGCCCCCTAACTACATTAAATAAACCTCAATCAAAGTCTCTTTTTTTTTTCTTTTTTTTTTATGTCCAGATGCCAGGAGTGAAGACCATATCAGCCAGTGTGTTCGTAACGGTGACCGTCCAGCAGTGGACCTAATACCAGAAGACACGCCTGCAGAAATAATTCAGCTCATGAAGAGTTGCTGGAGCCACGATCCACAGGAACGACCAACATTTAAGGGTATTCCTTGTGTGTGTGTCTGTGTGTGTGTGTAACTGTGTGTGTGTATGATACAGTGACAGAACAGGTTATGTTAGAGCTAATGAAAGCATAGTCACACTGTTGTAATTGTTGAATTATGACTTCTTTCAAATTATACAGTCAGAATTTGACGGGTTTTACAATAAATATTAATTCCACAATCTCAAGGTTCATCAGTTTTATGAGCTTGTGTCAAAGAAGGTGTTGTTAGGCATAGATGATTTAAACTTTTTTCCTCAAATTTTAAAGTCAGTAATTTGACCCCCACAGTTTAGTATGCATAGCTTCTTGTCAACCTTTCCTTCCTTTTCCCCTTCCTTGCAGAGGGCTACAACATGCTCCTTCCTTTCTACAAGGAAAAGCTTAAACCACAAGTGGAGGAAGATTTAATTCATCTGAGGGTAAATATATTTTTTAGGGATTTGATGTGCTAATAATATCTTGTATGCATGGTGAAGACATTGAGCAGAGGATTTGAAGTTGAACTATAGACACAAATACAATCGCATTTTGTATTATATCACATTTTTTTTCTTATACAGAAATTATATGAAGGCCCAGATGAACTTGTTGAGAAGATGAAATCTTTATCAGTGACCAATGAATGTTATTCAGCAGGTAAGCACTGTTGGCGATTGTGGTGGCCTAGATGTAATCTACACATTCTAATGCCCACCTTTGTGTGCTGCATTACATTTAATGTTCTAAATGTTCAGAAAGCTTGAAATATTATTCAAAAGGGCTGAGTAGCTGTAATGCTTTACTCCTCTCCTCACCTTGCAGATGGCCCAGCTCCTTTGGTGAGCTCAGACAGAAGTGTATCTGTGCCAGTTGAAGCCAGTATTGAGGATATGCATCACATCCCATATGAGCTATCGGTGGAGTCTCTTCAGACAGATGCAAAGGCGGTTGACAGCAATTCAGCTTTGGATGAGAAACTGCAGCGGGAGCTTCAGTACCACAAATATGGCAGCTATATCTGTGAGAACCAGCTTGACCCTGCTAACTACTACCACCACAACAGCTCAAATCATTTCCTGGCAAACCCCATTAGTGCAGATCAAACTGCAAGACAACCTGAAGAAGACAGACCCTCTGTATCCTCCGTCCAATCCTGGACTAAAGCTGAGCCGGTACAGCCCACCAGCCAGGAAGAGCCATGGCATCGCCCTACTGCTGGTCTCTATGAGTCCATGAACTCTACCATACCTACTCCATCGCACTTGCCAATGTCTTCCAGCACGCCTTCACTACCACAGCTAAACCAGCAACATCCACATTCTCACTACGACCGCCAGCAGTCTTGGCCAGTTTACCCAGTGTCTGATACATCTGCTTCTGACATTGCTCCTGGACATCTCTTGAGCTCTTCCAAGAGCTGCTTGCCACCAGATCCAGGTACGGATTTCTGAATCTAAAGGCCTGAGGTGTTCACAGCTGCTTCTGTCACCTTTGACTGACATGTACAGGAGTGACTGTTAAAGTGTGTTTGCTTTGCGCTATTTCCAGGGTCTGTTTTCATTCAGAATGCTAGGGGGATCCAGATTGGAAGCAACAACATGATGACTATCAGAGGTTATGACCCTTCCCATAGTTTATCACCTGCTAACAGCTTGGCTAACTCTCTCAAAGACGGCATTCAGAAATATGGTAAATCATAACAACATTTTTTCCCTGTAACAGATGTGATTGTATGTCTGCACACTTTTGTGGTTGCTCAGTTTGCAAACACAAGTATTCATTCTGTGGGGCTGCACCTAACAATTATTGTTGTTATTGAGTAATCTTCAGGTCATTTTGGTTATTAATTGTTTTTGCTATAAAATGGCCATCCAAATGGTCCAGATCCCAAAACAAAATCTTCAAATTCCTTGCTTTATCTGACCAACGCTTCAGAACTCATAGATATTCAGTTTGTCATCATCATATAACAGAAAAGCATCAAATCCTCACATTAAGAAGCTGAAATCAGAGTGTTTGGTAATCAATTATCAAAATAGTAAACAGATTTTTTTTTCTAATCAACTAATCTACTAATCCAGAAATTGGCTTCACAAATTCAGCTCTGGTAGTTATTAATTAATAATCAAAAACACACAGTTTTAATATAGTTCAGAGCAACAGTATTTTCTGGTTAAACAAACAGTGCTGCACTAGAAATAATTTCATGTAGCTGCTTGTTTATTTCTACTCTTGTATATGTATCTTCACTGTGTCATTTAGAGGACCATGCTGTGACTGAGGAGCACCTTGATCTGCTGAGGGACAACATTGGGTCCAAATGGAAGCGCTGTGCACGGCTCCTGGGTCTGACCACTGTGGAGATAGAGACCATCGAGCACGACTGCTACCGTGACGGCCTGCCAGAGATGGTGCACCAAATGCTGGAGCGCTGGAAAATGAAAGAGGGAAGTATTGGCTGCACAGTTGGGAAGCTTTGTGGAGCTCTGCTTGGAAACATAAAGGTAGATGTCATCCAGAAAATACTGGACACCTGCAGCTCTTCTTCTTCCTCAATCTCATAAACTTTTTTTCACCGTACAGATGTGCCTAATTCCTCTTAAATGACTTTATAACTCTGGTTGCCAATTCAACCAAAACTGTAAAAAAAAAAAAAAAAAACAGTATTTGATTTTGGTTTGGGTTGTACCAAAGTTTTTCATCCTCTTCGTTCATAATATAGTTGAGGTGAACTCAAATGTGGGTTTTTTTTGGTTTTTTTTTTGAGAAAAATATCTTGGTCTCTTACTCATGATAACCACAGAGCTCACTGTCAATAGCTTCCATGAGGAAATTGTCTTTGGTAGATAATTGAACACTGTCTTGCAGTAACTCCCTTTGATAAAATGATCACTTGGACTCGACTGTTGTGATAGTTTAAAAGCTCAAATTTTCTTTTCAAATTACTTGATGACTTTCTATCAAGCTTATCTTTATGAGCAGAGAAGACTGACAGGGGCCAGGGTTCAGGTTCTTCTAATCATGCGATTTCAAAATCATTGTTAATTTTGTAATTTGCAAGTAAAAATACCCTACATAATTGTTTTTTCTTATTCAAATGCCTTTTACATCGCAACATTATATGTAGGAAATAAAAGCAAGAAATTTTACAAAAGTTATATTTTTACTATAAACATTGTCAAGAATTTGTCTGTCAGAATTTTTACTCTCTGTTACGGTTTTATGAAATACAGTTACTGTAGCTTTTACAGAATAACGAAACCATATTCACAGAGAATTGAATGCTATGTGGTAAACATTTATTCCAGACATCACAACACAGGCGATGTAAGTATGAAGAAGCAAATTGTACAAAAGGATAAAAAACTTTGCAGTGCAGTATTCCATTAATAAGTGTTTGTTATTGTTGTAATCCAAAAAGTCAAACTCTGAGATGTGATGATGGTGCATATTGGAGCTGTGTCGTGCAATGAATGTAATTTCCCCAAATGACAGTAAAATGAAAGTATGCATGAATTAACTAGTTAGCTGCTTGTTTGAGTTGTCAGTGTGTGGACTTCTGATGTAATGTACATCACATCACAGTGAATGAGTGGCTGCACTGTACGTATCAAGTATTTTGGATGACAATATACTTTTATCTTGGAGATGTGTCTTTTTTCTGTTTCATTACAAAAATTCAGTGACTTCATGTACTGGTCGTTACAGTCTTGATTTAGCTCACTACACAATACATGATGAGACTGATATGCAGTATCACAAAAAAGTAAACGCTGTGTACTCAAATCTGGATCTCCTGGAAAGCCATTTTTGACATTTTGAATAAACTGTGTACATATGTTTCTAAAACTCTAACTTCTAAATGTATTTTTCATTTATTTAACATTTTGAGCTAAACAACTAAACTTCAGCTAAACTTCAGTCATGCTGAATATTATTCCAAATTTAGGGTTTCTTCCCAATCTTATATCAATAGAGAGATATCAATATATTGTATTTTTAAAAACATGAACACAGTTATAATGCTGTCACTTCTAAGTCATCAGCTAGACTGATACTATATCACTTCAAGCCACTGACATGACCCACCAGATTGGGCTATAGTTCCAAGTCCGTGTCCACTAGTCGGCACCCAGTAAAATCACCAAGTCTGAACCTGACTGAAGTCTTTTCTTTATATAAATTACTGCAATAGGGTTGAACGCAATGTGTATTGTTTGACCTATCTTTTGTGTTAAGTCATAAATAACACTAAAACTACAATCTATACTGTAGAAAGCTCTGCATATAATTACTATAATAATTAAGAGTTTTGTCTGAATACACAAACACTTACGTTAGAATGTAGATTCATATTCCTGAGTGTAAAAATCTAAACAGCAATTTTTTTTGTCTGGATCATCATCTTTAACTCATCCAAATATTCTCAATGGGAAGACAAATCTTCCCTTTTACTGTTGTCATTGAAAAGACTGTTTGAAATCCCATTTTAATGGACCTTTTAATGGATTACAGATGTGATACCTGGTGAGTTTAATAATCTCTTCACTGAACACAAGAAAATAAATCTACTCATTCCATTAAGGATTAATGATAAGGTTCTGGGACCCAAATGTGGACAGGCTTTCCATTTTCTTAACAGTAATTGAATCCATATTTTATCAGATTTAAACTTGCTGTTACCCTGGCACCCTGTTGATCAATAGATAAAATCTAATTAACTACTTTTGTTCATCAAAAGCAATATGGCTTGTAACATAGGACATACAACAGAAACAAGTAATTAAAAAAAAAAGGCAAAACACAGATATTTCAATTAGATTAAATGAACATTTCTGTAAGCGGCTGAGAAACTGAAACAAAGATGGATTTGGTCCTGAGTACTTGCCCAAATCCCATTTTAGTCATGTTTACGTTATATAGTTGATTAACGCACAATAACAATTACAGACAACATGAACTTAGTGGTCTTTGTCCACTAATGAATTAATTTATCTACAGCTGCATCATTTGGCTTATATTGGTTTGTCTTATTTGTCTTTCCTCCCTTTCCCTCTGTTGTATTGAAATAAATGTCTACAGTATTGCCAGTTTATCAAGTAAAGAAACACTATTGTCATTGTACAAATAATAAAGAATGAATTGAAGTTCTAATAATACAGGTAGACAGACCCTATTGTGCAATGCCATAACAATGGCATTATGCAGCAGTGTTGTATTCTACCCAATGTGTACATAGGTAATTGATCAAGCACCATAAACTATATACCTGCATTTGTCAAGTGTAAACAAGATTTGGGCTGGCATAGTAAAGGAAGTGTTACCAGTATTTGAAATGAGATGGCACTCAGTTCTCACACATTCAGGGTATGTTGCTGTAATAATTAACCAAAAGACAGTCCTCACCATTTAGGCCTGACCATGGATATCACCAAGTGCATCTAATACCCCCTTTCACAATAAAGCAGTGATCAAGGACAAATATTAGTGATAAGTCATCAGTGACTGTCATTCCTTGTCCCCAGCCAATGCGATTCCCTGGGGTTCAAGTCATGTTTTACTAAGATCATCCTAGCAGCAAATGACTCGGTGAACGGTAAAAATAATATCAAGCACTTAATAAGGTCCACAAGTATTTGCACAGCACTTGTCCAAACAAATATGCTGACAGAGCAGAATGTCAGCTTTAATTTGAGGATACCATTAGCCATAGGAATGAAGTAACCCTGAATCTGTAAATATATTTTTGCACTTAACTTTTTTTTCACTTTCTTTCACATCACTGATTTTCGTATTTATGTTTTACTTAGTGTTATTTATACTGATTTTGGAATGGTTGGGGCTAATTTGGAAAAAGGCAGTGTGATGTACTTGCACCAATCAGAATTTAGCAAAATTTGAATCAGAATCTAATTTCAGTTAGATTCTTTTTTTTTTTATATATGTAAATAAATTAATCTAAAAGATACAGAGAAAAACTTTTGAAGTAAAGCTTTCAGGGGCTTTAAAGTGATGTTCAGTTAAAGCAAGATGCATCCAAATTATTGTAAATATTGAAAGTTGCTCTCCATCCAACTTGACCAAGCTGATGTAAAACATATCACGTTTGCAACACCTAAAAAAGATAACAATTGTTTATGTGTTGCAAACAAAATACCTCTCAAATTAAAGCTGTCCCCATTTACTCTCAAGGCTGTTCTATCATATCATGACCAAAGTAATGCATAGAGGGTGACAAAAATAAGTACATGGCTGCGGCCCAAACACTTTGGGAGCACATGATACGTTCCTGAATGAGATTTCCTGAAATTAAAGAACATAACCTGCAAAATATGTCCCAAGACATTCTGTAAACATTATTCTATAAACTGAGAGAAATATCAGGGCCAAGCCACTTTTGCATGCCCTGGGACCATCTCCAAATTAATATGGAGGTTGTCTATTTCTGAAGTCCTTTTTGCACACATGGTGGCCAGCAGAGACTTCTTGTGGCACACACTGTGAGTCTTCTGCTTATGTGTTTGGGGAACTGGTGTGTCCTGATCCTTAGATGAGTCTCCATTAGCAGCTAGGTTAGTGACACCACACATTTGAGGGTAATGTCTGAAGCATTCGAAAGCATCCTTGCACTTGTCACATGTGTGATCTCTTAATGCTATCACGGGAGGTTGAGCAGAAGAGTTGGATGAGGGGAATTGGTTGGTCTGTCTGTGGATTGTGCGAAGTCTGACCCTGATCTCTGGCTTAGAGCAGCACTTTACTGGGCCCTGGAAGCAGAGGCAGCTTTTCAGACATGCGTGGCATAGAGTACCCATATCCCTGCGCATCATCCTGCGGAAGTTTGGCCTCAGCATTAAGTAAATGATTGGGTTGTAGATGGTGGAGGACTTGGCAAACATGGCTGGCATGGCAAATGCCAGAGGAGGGATGTTCTCAATGTGTCCAAAAGCAGCCCACATGGACACCACAGCATACGGACTCCATGCCGCGAAGAAACCGATGCAGACAGCAACACTTAGCTTGCAGGAAAAAGAGCAAAGAAAAGTGTAATTTTTAGAGACACATACTTCAGAAAAACTTTGCCAGTTCTTGTGTTTTTTACATAACAGTACATTCATATTTCTATCAAATTCTATATTTTTCTTATTGTCCACAAATCCCATGAAACGACCAAAACTACGAATGTGTTTGTCTCTCATTCTGGCTTCAGGTTGTCTGTGGCTCTCAGCCATAATTCCGCTAGTTTCTAATGAAGACATAAATCTTAGAATATGGATCATGAATACATACTTCCATGCTTAGAAATCACCAGGTAGCTTCCTAAAGCATCTGGGCACTGTGGGTTTTATCAAACATTAGTCAAACTAGAGTAAATAGTGCATTTGTTAGGGACTTTTCAGCCGTGGATCACAACACATTTGGTGCTCTAGTGAGTATTTACAGCAGCAGGATGGTATATGTGGGACTGATTCAAGACTAATTACGATGCCCATGTTCATGTTCATGAAGGAACATTACAGCTACTGCAAGAGGGTGGCTAATGTGTTTTTAATAGTTTTTGGACGGTAACTGAGTTGTTCCATGTTTTGACTACAGAAGCGAGGTTTGTAAGTAAGACCTATTCATTGTTGGTTTTGGTGCTTTCATTGGATTTAGTGACAATGAGAGAAATATAGAATATCATCTGACTTATCTTTTAAAAGGATAAGATAAAAAAAAAACTATGACTGTCTGGTGTGGCTCACTAAACCTGAAAGACCAATATCAGGCAGATTCTACATCAACTGGTGTAAAGTGTTTTTTGTTTTTTTGTTGTTTTTTGGGTTTTTTTATAAGGCAGAGGGACTCTCATGGAGAAGAGTATATGATGATGACCATTTGTCAGCTAAGGCAGCAGCAGCTTATCCATCACAGTAAGACCAAAGCCAATTTCTTGCTAATGAGAAGCTGCATCACTAGAGGATCTATTGAGGTCACTGCCAGTTTCTTCAACAAATGGAGGAATGAGGAACTCTCTAGAGGGCTCTGGTCTCCTAAGATGTTACTTTGATATTTATCCTTGAACCCCAAACATCACCACCACATTATCTGGATAACCGTGTGGTGTCAGTATGGTTCCAACTGATGGACACTTCTTTCCTTCATTTGTTTTGAAGATTCTGATTCTAACAGATCAGGATCTGGATGTGTCAACGTTAGAGGGTTTGTAGCAGTAATCACAGGTATCAAATACAAAGGAGTCTCGCTGTGAGTTAAGTTTCAGATGTACAGTAGCACTATTTTTGTCTGTGGTTGCGTATATCCTGCATGTAGTTGAAAGAATGCAGTGGATTAATGATACTCTTCTGGGATGTGATTATATGGAGACACGGTAATGATGAGGGCAAGACGTGTGTACAGGTGAAAAGAGACTGAGAGAGTGAAGGAGACTGCAGAAGCAGTAAAGCAAAACTCACAAGCTTGAAATGATTATTCTTAGAAAATGTCATCTCCAGGTCAGTATTTAGACTTCAGATTAGCAGAACGTGTAAAAGCAATGAACAGTATATGAGCCAAATAGAATCTCCGCCATTATAGAAGTGATCACTTTCCTCTTACCTTGACAATAATTGTCTGGATGCTGCTCATGTGTGTCTGCCTCGATGCATGCTGCTCCATAGTCTTGCGGGATGCATGCACTGTAACCAGAATACCCGTGTAGGAGGCTACAATAACACAGCATGGAAGGATGTAGCAGAAGACGAACAGTGCCACCGTGTAAGATCGTGCTGTGGTGTGCTGATTGGACAAGCGCCAGTCAATGCAACAAGCGGTGCCATAAGGCTCTGGTCCATATTCCCCCCAGTGGGCCAGAGGGGAGCAGGCAAATAACAGGGCGTAGACCCATGCGCAGGCAATCAGCAGACTGCCGTGAACAGAATTAAACCTGTTTCCTGTGAAAACAGATCAGGTTTATATTTTATTGGTCATGTAGTTGAATGTTGCTGGCACAGTTGTAATTTATTGATTCGCCAAAAAAAAAAGAAAGTGTGCTACAATAAATTAGGTTATTTGATGACCCTGATTTTTCTAAATTTCCTTTCTGTGTTCCCAGAAGCACTTACTCCACCAACGTGTTCGTACATAGTGTTGACTGACCACATCTGAAGGCTGAAGTGTTTATAGCTTTTTTCAAGGGCCATACTCAAAGGGAGGGCAGCAGCCTGCTCCCACAGAGGGGGAGATGGGCTAATCATTCAAATAGGGATAACGGCACAGACTTTTGAACAGTCTTTCCTGCAAGCCATTCACGGGGTTGCCCTCGCTTGTGTGTGAAGCGATGGATATAGTTGCTAGAAGAACTTCAAAAGCGCAGCTTAAGGGAAGTTCAAATCTCACATACTCACACATACATTTACACCAGCTCTGAGTGGCTGGCCATTATTATGTCTGTTGAAACTTTCTGCCTACTGCATGCATGAGGCATATAAGGCTCAGACGAAACTCCCTAAAACAGAGGACACTGGGTGTTTTACTGTGGCACAAAGAAATCTTCCATCACGGGTCTGATATTACAAGCCTGGATGAAGTTTCCCCTTCTCCCTATAAGGGTCTGCCACTGGATAACAAATCCAGGAATACTGTAGGTGTCACAGTCACAGAAAGATGATGCGCATTAGTCCATATTATCAGTTTGTGAGCCAACATGTGTAACTAATGCAAGCACAGGTCTCCTTATGGTCGATACAGGCAACTATAGCCATATTGTCTATCCTCGCCATTACACATTCAAGAAATAGAAAATATATAAGTGCTTCAGCGTCTGTGTGTTTCTGACCCCACACATTGTTCTGTCCTTGAAGGCTTCATGGGCAGCATACATACCATACTTGCTTCCAACTCAAAGAAAGATGGTCCTTCAATGGGCCTCTTACAGGAATACAGAGAGGAATAAGGGTAAGTCTCCCTCGACCACACTTAGTTGTGTTGCCTCAGTAAACCGAGTGCAGTGGTCACACAACTGCAGCCTGGGCATATTCCAACCAGAGGCAAGCAGACCAGACCTGGTGGGCGTTTTTGTTCAGAGATTTGTCACTGCAGATGCAGAGACGAGTGCCAGAATCTCTTTCCATGTTGAGAGGCAGCTTGGCGGCCATTTGGCTGGAGTGCCAAAGGAATATGGGGTAATTATCTGGAGTTGTTGATTGTCACGCTGGCACAGGTAGACAATGAGCAGTTGGGTGACTGCAGGCCTCTAGTTAGTCTGAGGCAATGGGTGGAAGATAACACCTCTGGAGCAAGAAGACGTGATCGAATGACGGGCGATGTTACATCGGCCTAATACATGCAGACATGACTGTCAGCAAGTTGTAATGAAGTGAGTGCTTCTGTGAATATGCAGTAAGTCAGATACAGCAGTAATTCTCAAAGTGGGGTCCAGGGACCCCCAGAAGTCATTGAGGAGGTTCCTGGGGGGTTCCCAGCAAAAAGGGGAATACATTCATTTTCACTATAATCCCATCCATAAATAACACAATGACAGAATGTATGACTATTTTGGTGATGGGTTTCATACACATTTTGTAATAAAACATCTAAATGCAAAAATCTTATCATATGGGGGGCCCCTGGGACGGAATCTATATGAGGGTCCATGGTCTAATCTAATTTGTAGTGTGGTGTGTGAAAAAGTTTGAGAACCAGTATAACCAGTAAAACCAGTATAAAATATGTGTTGACAAGATATATTTTGTATGTGAACATTTCAACTGATTGATTATGTGGCTTGAAAATAATTAACCTAAAATTGACATTTTTTAAAAAAAAAAAAATTAATTTATGAATAACAGTGCTTGTAATTGAGAATATTGGACAGAAACACTCCGTCTGAGGTCAAATAGAAGGCCCCATTGCACTGCATCAAGCAACATCACAAGTAATGCTTATTGAGTGCAGCCCCTGGACTTGTCAGTCATCAAAGAAAGGCTAATGAGCAGTGCTTCACAGAGGGATTATCGTTTCGTTTTCTACCACAGATAAATCAACAATCAGACACTTAGGGATGTGATGGTTAATCCTGTGTCATTTCAGTGGGCAAAAAAAAAAAAAAATCATCTCTGAAGACTTACCATAGAATGGATAACATACTTTCACAAAGCACACCATGCTTAGCAGGGTCAGAGTGGTCAGACTGCAGATGCCAAACAACATGCCACAAAAAGCGTATATGGAGCACACTGTTTTCCCGTACAGCCACCTGCGTGGGAGGGAAAGGGGGTGTGAGAAAGAGAAAGAGGACGGTGCAAAACAAAGACAGAGAAGAAAGATCGATGAGGGAGAAGGTGAGAAAGGGAAAAGAGGAGAGCAGCATGAGCATTAAACTCCATATCTGTGAACTCACAGGCAGTCATACTGCTAACCATATATAGCATATATATTTAAATGAGCCATGAAATTTGAAAGAGAGTCTGATTTAAAAGCAGTACCTAAGAACATTCTTTCTTACAGCGCACGTGTTTCACATGAAAGTATCCCAATTTCTGGTGGTGAGAACAACCACTTTGTCTTTGTTTCTTTGCTTTGTTACCTATCAATGCTACGGTCTCTGCCGGGTGTAGTACCTGTGGTAGAAGCTTGAAGTTATCGCCATAGGGTAAAGAGACAGGGTCAGGCCCAAGTCACTAACAGCCAGGTTGACGATGAAGTACTCAGCAGGTTTCAGGAGGTGCTTTTTCCTGTAGGATACATACAGCAGTGTGCTGTTGCCAAACAGTGAACATACCCCTGCAGGAAAAATAAAGTGAGAAGTGTCAGGAATTTAGTTTTGGTTTGTCTTAACAAGCTGTCAGAATCATGCTGCATCTTTAAAGCAACACTTCAACATTTTGGGATATACCCTTTGTTTTCTTGCAGAGAATCAGATGAGAAAATACCACTCTCATATCTGTGCAGTAATCATGAGACTAAAGCAAGCAAGCAGTCAGCTTAGCTTAGCATAGAGACTGGACACGACTGGCTGTGCCTGAAGGTAACATGAACATGAATAAACACAAACCTTTACTAACTATTCTAATTACCACAGTAATAAACAGAACCGCAGCAGCAAAAACACACTGACACTGGCATATAACGCCACCATGCGGAATACTCAATTAAAGCCACATAGGCAGTTTAAAGTAAAGCAAAACACAGTGGTTAAATGGTACAGTAAGGCTTCTCCAGAAATGCTTCCAATATCAATGATTGCGATGAAAGTTAACCTGCACATGAATATTTTTCAGTACATGGTCCAGCCATAGAATTAACTGTCAGAGATCTCTTATGTCGTTGTGTTGGAAGCACAGATAATACATGAGCTGTCATGCAGAGGGTCTGTATTACAGCTTTACATGTATCTGTGCATGCCTCCTCACATATATACACATACAGGTATAGACTTGCTGCATATATACAGTAAATAGAGATGGAAATATTGCATATATACATTGGTAATTGTGAAAATGAAATAAAAAATAAAAGTCAAAATGACAAAAGTAAATGTGGTTTATGCAGTTACTCATTTCAACTCACTGACAGTATTATTTATTCTTTATTGGTCTGTAAAGGAATAAAAAAAATTAAAACAGACAAAACTGAACAGGTTTATATTTCTGTAGTCTTTACTCACCAAAAACAAAGTAGACCACAGCCACTGTTATATCCAGTGGCACAGGTATGTTGGAGAGGAATGCAGTGTCTTCATCTATCAGCCCCATCTGAAAACAGTTTGTCAAGAGCAATGTTTAAGACTATTGTAACTGATACTATATTAGCTTTGCAACACTTTGCAAATCAAATCATTTTACCTCACAGTAAGGTACTTGAGTAATGAGTAGGTGATTTTTTGTGACCTTTATGTATTGCAAATTAGTGCTTTCATGTACTCAGAGCTCTCTTGTGTTGCTTGGCTGTTTGCAGTGACAGTGTTGACCTTCTGCGGCATTGTTGGTCAAAAGATTTGTGAACATGAGAAATTTACTTATGGCGCGTGTAATTCCTCCTTTCCGTTGTGAAACCTTATATTCATGTGGAGAAAAAAAAGAAGAAAACTTACATTTATACACGTGGAGATGATCTGAAAAATTTGTGATTGTATTAGTCTTTTCAGTACCATTAACTAATATGATTTACATGTATCTCTAATTGCAAGGACTACTACATGAGTATGTGTTTTAATTACCCATGTGATCACATCATCAACACTTTGTGTTTCCATGTCTTCATTCTGCTTCAGCAGCTAAAATCAGATGGTGACGGACAGACATAGATCAATGGATGACATGAGGGTCAATGAACAAGTGGTTTAACGATAATTGGTGTGCTGTTCCCGTGGTCAGACACATTGCTGCATTTTCAGTAAGACGAATCTGCATACCTGCAGTATTTCAGATGCTACCACTGAAACAGACTTTCTGAGCCAAACACTAACATGATTCAAAAAGGCAGCTGTAGCCTACAAATAATAACAGAGCATTGCCAACTGTATACATGAATATAAATCCTGGGATTTGGCATGCTTTCTTCTTTCGAGCATGCACAGCAGTTCAGAACACACGTTTTATACTTGATACAAGTGTCTGACTTGTAGACTGAGATTTACAGTCAAGGTTATTACTATAAAACAGGCCTGTATTATTCCCCACAGAGCATAAATGTCCTTTAACCATTCAGAGAATACATTATCATCTTCATAATCGGACTTAGTCTGTCACCTTCTGGTTAGCTATTGGCTGCTGAACCCTATTTGCTGTATGCATAAACACAGTCTTGCCAGAGGAAGCATGAACGTGTAAGAAACAAGCGTTAGTGAAACAGAGCAGCAAAAAGCATTTCTTGTGATGTGGTCTGTGCAGGTCAAGGTCACATTGCGACACCCGAAACCAAACAATGAATGCCTCAGCTTTTACAGACCAGATCAACAAAACAAAAACTTCACACAATTGTTTGTCTTTATTTGTAGGATGTGTCCATGCCTGTCCAAAAATGACATTTTGAGATTCTTACTTTCTACACTTTGGTATATTACATCAACTCTACTTCAAATTTTAATCCATAAATGTGCTCATTTGTGTTTGGTTTGGTGTTTAAGTAACCACCAATGCAATCATACAGTCTCTATAGAGTAAATTCTTTTTTCTAGATAGTATCAATGTATGAAATTAATGAAAATGTCCCGCTCTTGACCCTCTGATTCCCTTCACACGAGGCAGTATATAGGTGATAAAGAATCCCCATTTTAACAATCAGTATATTACAGGTATACCTCACACAGCCCACAGCACTGTAGAAGTTGCTCATAAGTCTTTTTCTTAGTTGTAATTTTGAGTACGCCAATTAAACTGAGTGGCTCCGTGCGTAAAGGCGCAAAACTCATCCAACGCCCTGTGTTACAGGCGCTGAATTAGCTCCAAGAACACATTAAAGCCCTGTGTGCTACTGTTGGTTGGATGTTTGAGAGCTTTATGGCTGTAAACCAACTGAAAAATGCATATGGTATCTTATAATATAGATTTAATTAGCGCCTTTGACGTAATTTATATATAAATTGCTAGCCTACCACCAAGTCTTATCTGATGACAAAAAATACCTTACCTCGTCGAATAAGTGGTGAACTACCTAAATCCGCTTCTACCAAAGCTATTCTTGATCCGATTAAGTCCCAGTAAGTTTCCAATATTACTTGGAAACCTTCCCGTGTTGGCTATTTCTGCCTCCAGATGAAGCCTCAGAGATGTTCCCTCCTCTCTCAGCAGCGGTCAGAGGCTGGATACGAGCGTACTGTGCGTCAGTGTAGACACAGAGGCAACACGCTTCATTACAATGATCCGGGGCTTCAGGTCCCGCAAACTGTGAGCTGCTCCGATCAATTAATGACGTCAATTACAAATGAATTCTCTCTCTCTCTTTTTCTCTCTCTCTCTCTCTCTCTCTCTCTCTCTCACACACACACACACACACACACACACACACGTAGATTTATTGTTGAGTCTTTCCTTGAACATTGTATTGTACTGCAAACATAATGTCTCAAAATATTAAAATGCATCTTTATTTAGTTGTTTATTTTGTTGTTGATCTTGTTCCTTGATAAGGAAATGTGTTTTTGTTAGAAATCTATTTGTACACTCGCCCTTCCAACCCCACCACACTCAGAAATGTTCCAAATGCTTTGCTTTGCCATTCTCAACAGACTAAAAAAACAAAAAAAAAAACAACAAAAAAATGACATAAAAGACCTTATGATCATTTCAACTGGAATATGAGAGTATGTTTGGGATACTCACAATATGAAACCCACATACATTTTTGAAAACTCAACTATCAGATACACAACAGTTAACATAATGACGGATCAATAAATTTACATGATCCATTATTGGTAATCTGCCAGCAGCAGTGAACACAGCTGCTGATAGTAGGCTACATATTTCTGAGAATAACTGTATTTATCACAACCACAGGGATGGTGTTTGAAACGAAGGTAAACAGAAATTAATTGAAAAGGTGATTTTGAGAGAAATCACTAAAATACATGAGTTTCCACCGTCACTGCAGCTAGTTTTCAGATTTCAATAAATGCACATCTAAGTGTTTTGAATGAAGCTTCCCTTAAGTAGCTTTGCGCTAGATGCAGTATATATTCTGTACAGCAACACCTCATTCCAGAACATTTATCATATTTATCACGCTACAGTGACACATTTTCTCTTGTTTTGTCTCTGTACTTTGGCACATTGGATTTTAAAAGGAACATAACCCCATATTGGTCACATCAAGTGGAGCCTTCATAACCTTATATATATGCTTTCCTCCATTTTTTCTGGAAATATTCAGGAGCATAATATGAAGGCTGCTGTTCACCCGATACATGTAAACTCTCAAATCAAAGCTGAACGTCAGCACTTTAACCTTAACAGAGCCTAAACAACAAAAATACATCTAAGTCCAAATATCTGCACTATACACAAGTGAAACATTCCAATCCAAGACTCAATCTTTATGGCTTTTTGTCATCTTCTGCACATTTCTATGTAATCCAGCATGACATACTGTAATATTTAATCTTTGGAAACCTTGTAATCTTTACTGGAATTTAAATTGAATTTTTTTTAGTTTGAGCAACCTTGTTCCACTCACACGAGTTTGTAATAATGGACTTGCCAAAGGCTCCCTGGAGATGAAATGGTTAAATCTGAATCTATATTGCCTCAGCAGTGTGGTGCTTTATGGGATGACTGTGAATTCCTTCCATGTAAACGTCCCTTTCAGTAGCATGAGTTACACATCGTGTGCTGCTTTTAGTTACAACTCGCCATTGTGAATCTCCCACATAAACATAAATGAAACCAATCAAGGTGGGTCAAAGGGACATATGGTGGCACTTGAAAATTAATTTTGAATTTGTCTCAGAAAATGCAGGAAGGGAAACAATCCATTTTGTCACACCTTGAAAGCAGGGATGAATTATCTTCAAAAGAATTACACACAGTGAAAATATTGCCTTGCATGCCACTTGATCTCCTTCTTTCTTACATGTGTGAATTTACACACACACTCACACACACTCGAACCAACAGAGAGAGAGAGAGAGGCTGGAACAGACTGAGCCAAAGCATGAGATGAAAGCTGCATTCAAGGTGTAATGGTGTTTTTAAAGAATTAATTATGATGGCCACAGAGGGTAGGAAGAAATGAATGTCCACGATAAGATAAAACACAGCATGGACATCAAAGTGGTCTGGTGGGAATATAGAATAAGCATTTAACACAAAGTTTGCCTGGTGAGGAAATGCTGCAGCTGCCTGTAGATAGTCATGACTAGAGAGGAATGGGCAAAACATTAATTATGCTTTTCCTAAAAATAGTTTTTTACTGGTAGCGCTGTTTATGCACATGCAGTGGCTGCTTGTAGAGTTTTACTTTCAAAATATTACAGTTGAATAGGATATTTCTATTAGAAATGAAGGGCGACTGACCACCATGTTAGTAATTGGTTAACCTTATGTGCCAGCTCATTTACTTTCTCATTACAGCACATTTTGATAATGATGTTGAGGGAAATAAAAACTAGATCTTCATGCTGAAGTTCAAACAACCGTTGAGAAAACAATCGCACCACAAGCTTCATTTAGTAGCTACTCTGGAGCTTTTGATCATATAGCATGATCTTCATCAGCAGATAGCATTCAGCCAAAGTACGTGTAAAAAAAAAAAAAAAAAAAAAAATGGAAATTTGAACATCTACAATTTCCTAGCAACTGTGCAAAGTGCAGCTGCTAAATGGACCATGTGGTGAGCTTGTTTTTTTTTCCAGCTGTATCGTTTTGGATGCAGAACAGTCCCTCGCACCTCCCCACCCTGAGATCCTTGACAATTATATAGAAAAAATGAACTAGAAAACTGATCCCCCAGAGCAGCAAGGCCCAGGAAAATGAACTGGGTTAAAATCAGCTTGTCGTCCAACCTAAATGACCACGTAGACTGCTTTTCTCTAACCTCTGATTTGACCCATAGTAGCGTAGCAGCAGCAGGTGAACCGGCCCTTTGTCGTCATAATAATAAACTTATGGTTGTGGAACTGTCACGGTTTGGTTAGGTTTAGGCACAAAAGTCTATTTGTTTAGGATTAGGAAAAGATTATGGTTTGGGTTAAAATAAATACTTTAGATGACATTTGTCATCATGGTTACAATGAAAAAAAACAAACGTTAGGGTTGTGGAACGGTTGTGGATAAAAGAAATAATGTTGATTATCGGCTTTGCACGGGAAACGATCAGCAGTCTGTGTCAAAGAAGAGAAACTATCAGTTAACCTTGTTACTCAAGCAAATACCATCAAAGGAATAATTCCACATTTTTGGAAATGCACTTATTTGTTTTCTTGCCTGGAGTTAAATGACAGTTGCGGACAGTTAGCTTAGCATGAAGACTGAAAAACAGGAGGAAACAGCTAGCTGCCTCGGTCCAAATGTAACAACAACCACGACCAGCACATATAATGCTTGTTAATCAAATTATATCTTTGTTTAATCCATACAAAAGCCAAAGTGTAAAGTTGTTTTACAGGTTGTGTGGGACTGCGTCCTGGCTGGGTGCAGTGACTTCATTTTAAGTTTTTTTTTTTTTTTGGATCGAGTTAGTATTCATGAAGTTGTTCTAGCTATGCATTACTGTCTTGTATTTGTCATAAAGTAGAGTCCATGTAAAGTCTTGCCCGGAAGACATTCATTCATTTCTGCAACTCCTCAGTGTTTCGCCTTTTCACATCCATCCTTCTTTTGCATACAGCTGCAAGTACGAAGACATGTAGTAGAACAATCCATTCTGGTTGTAATGGTGTAGCCTGTCCTCTGGCAAAATGAAAGGCTCTTCTCACCCCTTTAGATAGGATAAATGCCATTAATGTGAAATCAGAAATGAAGCCAGCCTTGGTGACTTAATGTCTAATATTTCATCTTTAAACCAGTGCTGCACATGTTGCCATGTTTCATACAATTATTACAACCAGTCTGTTGAGTGCAGCTCTGGCAGAAGTTTTCCTCCCTGTATTTCATCCTCTCTTTTTCTCTGGCCCAGAGTCATTTTTATGGTAAACCAATGCATTTACTCCATAACACTCTCACTCATACTGCCGTGTTCTGAGCAAAAGAGCCATGGGCAGATATGCTGAAATAACCAGGGCTTTTTGAGGAATGTGCAGGCTGATCCACCCAATGTGGAATGGATTGGAAGCTACTAAGGACTATTCATTAAATGGTTCCCTGTTCATATGATGGAATTTTATAGAATGAGGACAAACAAACTTGTGATGTTACATTATCCAGCTTTATCTTTACTGTATTAAAACAAGGTTTTGTTGTAATATAGTTCTAGTTATCTTTATGTTGTTTTGTGTTATATTGTATTAGAAAGTGCCGTCATAAAAAAAAAAAAAAATCAGTTCCAAATCAAATAGTTGGCTCCTGAACTCCAGTCGTCACTACAGGGTTATCTATGAAGGCAATTTAGGGCCAGAACATTTGAAAGGAAAAAATAGTGTGAATGTAAAACAAAGCCCATAAATGAGAAAATTAAACTGTAAATGTAAACCAACGTCAAGACCACTGAACTGAGAGTGAAAGATTGGACCATGAAAGCAAAGACGGATCCATGAGTGAAAAAGCCTGGTCGATCAAAACAGTTGTTTTCCCATTCACATTTTTTCACTCATTTACTGTTTTATTTTCTCATTTACAGTTAAATTGTATCATTTATGGGTTTCATTTTACACTCACGGTTTGCTATTTTTTGCTTTCAAACATTCAGTTACTTTCATAGCAATCGAACATATCGAGCAGTACAAGTCTGTTCTGTACAATCCACCCTTACTGAAGTAAAACTAAAGTTAAACTTACAGGCTGCATGTCAATGAATGACTTGTGGGACTCCTCAGTGGTGGATCTGAAGACGTTTCCTCCTCTCTTGTAGATGGATGTGGGCGGCAGAGTCGGCAGGACCTCCAGAGCTCTCTCTCTCTCTCTCACCCTTAGCAACTAAACAATTTGAGCAAAATACACATATTGGATTAAAATTTAAATTGTATGCTAACAATTGATACTTGTAAAGCAGTCTTTCTGACTTTTCTGCTCTGGTGTTGATTGTGTAGCCTATTGTAATGAAATGAAGTGGTGTAACATCTATGCTAAACATAATGAGTTAATTCTGTTTAAAATTGAAAAAGTAACATATTTGATGCTGAGTAAGCCAGAGAGACATTTAAGTTTTTTATTTTTATTTTATCATGGTAAAGCGGCTGAGAATGAATACCCATGTGTCAGGTTTTTAAATTCACGAGGACTGAATTTGTTTGCCAACTTTACACAGGCTGTTTGAAGAACATACAATTATAGCTGCAACAGATTTAGGCCAAATTTCACAGCTAATGTAACATGGAGTTTTTCCATCTCATATTCTCATTAACGCTTCTGACCCAGCATGAGCAACGCATCTGTTTGTTCATAGTACCCAAAACACCCCAGAATTATGAACCAGCATAATCAACTCAACAATGTTACAGATTTTTCTGTAACATTGTTGAGCACTTTTGGAGTGTAGAATAATAATAAAAAAAATCAACATGAAACACAGTTGACTATAAAAATTTGCAAAAAAAATTGGCTCAGTGAGCTTTGAACGACAAAAGTACACAGCAAGCTTTTTCTTTGCACAGGTTTTGTGGCTCAAATCAGATTTATTGGATTTCCACTGCATCAAACAACCAACAGTGTTAACTGTTTTCTGCACATTTTGTAATTGTAAACAGTCACTAAATACCTATTCTCATTTGTCTGCAACATCTTTGAGAAAGTTCTTTTCCATGTTTTCTGCTTATATTTATTATACTGCCTTCAAATGAACTATTTTCTTTAATCCTTAACAATGTCCAGTGGGAATTTGAGTGAAATTTTAAAACAGAATAGCATGTCTTTCATTTAACGCTTGTTGCAAGTATTTTTTTTCTGACCTTCCTTCTCAATATGCATCAGTCTTTGACTTTCACAGCTTGTTCCATGAAAGTTTAATGTACTGAACATGACTTTTTTACATCACACCATCTTTTGGTCTCTGCCTAAGATTATTCTTAAAAACTCAGGTTACAGCTGCTAAACGAAAAAAAAAAAAAAAAAAGAAGACTGAATTTACAGCTGCTCAGAACCACTGCGAATACATTTTATGGCTTATTACTATTCAGACTGAGAGCAGTGTTGTGTTTTGACAGTATCAGTATCTCATATATGGCAAAGTGTGCTTTTGATTCTCTTATTAAATTGTTTCAGATTAAATAATTCACACACTGCAAAAAAGAAATCAATGACCTGCTTTCAATTGTCTGCCAAGTACTATCGATTTATGAAGTGAGGCTTTTAATTCAGCATTATGGAATGAAATGCAAGCAAGAGTCCCGTATCACAGAAACCTGAGAATTGTGTCTTGTCTGAAAGGCTTTATGTTGCATTTTGCCTTTAAACTGGTAAAAGCCCAACATATTATCAACAACAAAGAAGACAAAACAGTCAGAGATAACCAAATGATAACAGTAACAGAAAACAACGGAGCATCAATAGTAGTTGACCTGCATATCATCAACACCTTGCATGTACTGTTCGAGCAGTCATCACTGCCTGACAGTTCAGGTTCACAGAGCCAATGAGGCTCTGACTGTGAAGCTGTGGGACACTGATGACGACTGGCAGGCAGGTAGAATTAACTTTA